AAGTTTTAGAGCCACTTTTTTATTTTCGAGCATGACCTCCGAATATAACTGGATTCCTATTTAACGCCCTAATTTTTTAAAAATTTCTCCCTAAATTAACCAAACAGACTATATTATCCCCAATTCTTAAACGGTCGCCCCCAACCCATCGCTCTAATCTCTAAATTGCTCTGCTCGTCGCCGACGAAAGGAAAGTCCGAGACATAAAATTCACTGGCGGCTGACGAATCTCGGGCGGCTGCTCTACGGAAACCTTCGTCGGGTTGTCGTTCTTCCTGCCTAACCCGAACAATTATTGCAAATTGACCAGGCGGGGTGTTCCCTCTTCCTCCTCATTGTTGCTCGATTGATGGGGGCCTTCGTCAAAGTGTAGGTTAGAGGAAGCTATCGCCAATCTCATCTTCCTCTATGAGACCAACTTCTCATGAAGCTCCAACGTCTCCAAGTAGTTCACCGTTCCCATCTTCCGCCCACAGCTCACTGCAACATTTCATCGAGCAATGACAGGACAAGTTTCTTCTCCGGGAGCGGGAATCGAAATTGTGGCAAACTAATAACAAATCAGAAAGTTCTACTGATTTTTCATATTCCCGGAATCGGCAGTATCGACAGGGCGGACCGAGCAGAGGAGCAGCCGCCACAAGGATTTTCAGACAAACGGCGGCGACTGACGAGGACTTTCAGGATAAACAGCGGCGATAGGTGAGCACTTGTTCGCCGGCGATGCGGATCCTAGGGCGAAGGCTGACGTTTAGGGCGAGTTCTCTGTTTTTGGGAATTGCTTTTTTTTTTTGGAAATTTGGTTTAGAGATTGAGAATATTTTAGGGGTAAAAATGTCAATTTATTTAAGTTAGGGAAATAAATCTAGGAAATACTAAGCACAATGCATATAGTAGCATACTATAGAATCTTAAGCATCGATAATAAAGAAGCATTCATACTAGATAAACAACAATGATTATCTCATAGGCATTGAAACATAGGCATCCATGCATAGATAATGAGCATCGAAATTCATATAGATAAACACAACCATGATATGGAATCATAACATTCATTCACATAAAGATAAACGAGTTCACTTCTTCATACAATCAATTTCGAACTAGCTACATAGAAGAGTAGGGTACCTCCATCGATGATGACTACATCTTCTAAGCTGCAGACTCTCCTATGAAAGCTAAGCTCTTACTCAAGTAGAGTACAAAGGTTTTGTGTGTTTGTGGAGTCTTATTAAACTAATGAGCAATACCCTCTATTTATGGGGAAAGAGCCATGCTAAAAGTATTCTAAGCTGACTGAGAAAGGGTCTCCTACTCCTTGTGGGCTAAGTAAAATTCTTGCACAATGCTAGGGTTTAGTGACAGTAGGGCGGTGGTTTCGACCGTCGCTCTTTTTCTTTGTGGTTGGGATCCTTGAACCTTGGACGACTCTCCCTTTCAGTTTGGACACTTCTTGACCAAGCCTTCTCCAGTGGTGGTTGGACTCGATGCTGGGCTGCCCCATGTTTCTTCATGAGCTTGGGATGATTCTTCTTCCTATGAGCTTTCTTGAGATTATTAAGGAACTTCTAGTTGACTTCTCCGTCATTGAACCTCATCTTTCTAAAAAAAAGCTCCATATTCTTCTCTTTATAGCTCCATTGGTCCTCCAGAGTTATCCAATGCTTGACCCAATCTTCCTTATGTTGTTTTGTACCTTCAAAATCAACAAAAACATATAGAGAAGGAATCACAGAGTACAATAACATAACCTAGGTCTATTTAAATCTCATTGATCAAATAATTATGATTTAGATAGGAAATACTATTGAAATGGCTAAAGATTCATTTAAAGAAGGGGCAAATGTATCAACAATGGCAGTGACAAACACTATAAATAAAGTGTCATCAGAAATACCCCCACCTTGAATTTTGCTTGTCCCCAAACAAACATTATTCATAACCATACAACTCAATGAATTCTAAGAACCATGACTCAACTCTGGTCTTAGGTAGTGGCACATAAGTTACTTAGAAGGTCAACAATAGAAAGAACATTATACCACATAATCCAAGCATCAACTACTAATGATGCATAAGAATCTCAAAACGAGAGGTCGAAGCTTTTAAAAAATTATTAAGCTTTGATTGCTTTCTATCATCAACTTCACATTTCTCTAAAGCACTTTGTCTATTCAAACTTAAACTCTTCATATGGTTTTTGAAATTTTCTCTCTTGCAAACGGCTCCTTTTTTCTGATTCTTCTCGTGGTGAGAGCTCTTATTAAACTTTACCCTTGTATTGTCAATCATAAAAACTCATACCACATCATATCACTATCATATCAACATCATATCATTGTGATATCATACACTATCAGTGGTAATATCGTGATATGATAGTGGTATGATGACCTGAAAATTTTTAACTCAAAAAAAATATCAAAATGGATATTGTAACGTGCCGAACCTTTTCCAAGCAAGATATTGTCTGATTTGGCCCTCGACACTCACGGTTTTTGACTTGGGGTGAAATTCAAGGTGACTTTCCATTGGGTCACTCATCCTTGTTGTACCACACTGAGCACGTTTAACTTCAGAGTTCTCTCAAGAACTCTTCCATTTCACCTCAAAATGCGTCTTGTCAGTTAAGGTCGGTTTCTTACTTATGAACCATGAATCTCTCTCCTACTTTGTCGATGTGGGGTTTGCCTAAGGTGTTACAAATATCATATTGCAGAGCATAAAAAAATCTGATTTTTGTGCAAATTTTCTGAAATCTGATGTAAAATGAATGCATTATGCCCAGTTAAATTTTCGTTGGAGATTTGAAATAAACTTTGATAGCCACCTAGAAATTTGCGGCAATCTAAGAAAAGAGAAGAGAATAGGGATCACATAGTAGACATTGCACCTAGCCGCACATAAACATGGTTAACCTTATTTTCCACCATGACATACCCCTCCGCAATAATGGCCATAAGATCTACAACCCCTATTGCCCCACATTACACCAATACTATCTCTCCCTCCTCCATATTTCATGAAAATTTAAAATAATATGATGCTAAAACTCTTAAACTTCACCTTTCCAATTCGATCAATACATATATGCAACCTTTTATCTCTAATTTCCACAAGAATGTAAAATTGTGTTATCTTTCTCATTTTATTTTATTTTATTCATTTATGATATATATAATATAAGTTCGACGTGTTAACTTTAAAATTGCACGTGACTTCAATTCAATTACATTAGTTTTAACTTGAATTTGGTTGGAATTTACGAGTATTGTCCACGAGTATCAAAACCAGGAGAACAATACAAACATTACAAACTAAGAGAACAAAACATACAAACCGATTTACAAACAATACAAAACATACGAACTACACAAACAATACAAACTAGACCGACAAACAATACAAACCATACAAAATGAAAAAAAAAACCGGGTTGACTTTGGAGACTTCATCCCTTTATAGAGGGTTTCGTCCCAAAGTCAACCTAGTTTGTTTTTTGACATACAAACATTACAAATATGATGGGGGAAAATGACAAACTAGACTGGTAAACCATACAAAATGGAAAAACACCTGGGTTGACTTTGGACGCTTCATCTCTATATAGAAGAGTTTCATCCAAAAGTCAATCAAGTTGTTTTTCCGACATAAAAAACATTACAAACATGGTGGTTAATAATAACAAAGTTTACAAACATTACAAAAGTAACCGAAAAACATTACAAAATAACAAAGCTTACAAACATTACAAAAGAAGTACAAAGCATACTAAACGTACAAAATAGTCATAAACATTACAAATATAATAGACAAAAATGTCAAACAATACAAACCGAGTTGTCTGTAAACATTACAAATCAGACTTACAAATATTACAAAATAGAACGACAAACATTGCAAAACTACCACTGTCGTCGGAAAACTCTCGTCGCGGTCCGAAATTCTCGCCGGCGCTGGGAAATCTCTCACAAAATAGAACGAAAAACATTACAAAACTACCACTGTCATCGGAAAAATCTCATCGTGGTCCGAAATTCTTGCCGGTGCCGGAAAATCTCTCTCTATCTATGCGCGAAAGTGGGGAATTTGGCCAGAAAAATGAATGGGAATGGAATCGTGGGGGAAATTTTGCCGGTAAAAGCGCCAGCGGAAAGCAAAAACGTTTGCCGGGAACGGAATCGAGCCAGAAATTTCACCGCAGGCGAAAGGTACGTGGACGGGATGCAGTTTATTTATTTATTTCATTATTAAAAATTAAAAAATAATCTTGTAATTACTATCTTGTCCTTGATTAAATTTAATTAATTATAACCATTAGATTTTAAAATGTTTGAAGGGCTGACATCTACTTAGACAAATTGACTAAGATACCCCTCTTCCTCACCTGATCTTAGGCCGAAAACTTCCGCCAATTGGCGCTTCGTTGCCATCCAAATAGAAGAGCTTTGTCGCACTCTCCTTATCTCATTGTGTGGGGAGAAGATAGTATAACAACACCCTATCTATTGTCACAGTAACAACACGATTCATTAAGGGCAAAACTGGAAATTTACAATAAAAATGATAAAAAAAAATTACGCGTTTCCTCCTCCGCTCTGTTCTCCATCGTTGCCGTTCTCCTCCGTTGCATATGAGATCCCGAAACAGTTTATGAACCTCGACCGGATCGACCCGGATGGTCGACAACTTTCCAGCTGCCGCACTTGATTCTGCCCCCGTGACCGAACGAACTGGCTCGCCGTCTCGCCCGTCTTTGAGCTGTACACCACATAACAATCGTCGACGACAAAGTATACACAAACGGCGTCTGACACGAGTTCGGGTGAACGGGCCGGGTGTTGAAGGCGTAGCCACTATAATCGGCTTTCTTGTGTCAGTTGACGAAGGTGCGGACGGGTATCTCCATCTCGCGAGGGGAGACGGTGCCCCTGACGTTCTAGACAGCGTAGCCCCACGAGACAGAGACCGTCGAGTGCCGTTTGTGGTCGTAGCAGATGGACTGCTGCATGAGCGCCGGTGGGTCGAGGGTCATCGGGAGCGTGAGGCGCCTGAGGGACTGGAGGCGGCTGGCTTTTGGGAAGATCGAGTTGGTTCCATACTTAAATACCAAAGACGTCAACTTTGTCAGCTTCAACCACTCTTCTCCTCTGCCTGAGATTTCGAGCTTCGAATCTTCACAATACTCAAATGTAAATTGCTCTAAGTTTATCAGTTCTGGAAGATTAGAGACCGAGACTGAGGTGCTTAGCTCCTTCAAATTTTTCGGAAGTTCCATTGCATTTTCTTCCTTCACTTTAATTGCTCTGAGGATCTTTAGAGATGGCAAGGTCACTATGTCGAAGAGAACTTGGGACAAGTTCTCGCCCTTGCACGAGCTGATATTTAGCTCCCGAAGCCCCTGAAGGATTCCAATGCTACCCCCACTATCTTCCTGATTCTGCAATTCTCAAGATTCAAAACCTTTATGTTCCTCAAATTGCCAAGGTCCAGGTCTTGAGTGGGTTCTCTCAATGCATAAAAGTGCAAACCACAATTATTCTAAAATAAACTACTAACCTCACAAAACAAATCACAAATCTTCTTAATGCACACCAGAGACCTTCAAATGTAGACAATAAATACGACAAAACAAACCACAAAAAACATACAAGAAACCTCCCAATGCATGCCACAAGTCTCCTAAAACAAACCAAAAATCTCACAAAGCAAACCACAAATATTTTGAAAAGTACACCAGAAACCCCCTAATGCAAACCACAAACACGGTAAAGCAAACCAAAAACGTCTTAATGCAGACCACAAATATATTAAAACAAACCAGAAATCTCGCAAAGCAAACTACAAAAGTTTCGAAAGCACACCAGAAACTTCTTAATGCAAACCAGAAACATCCTAATGCATACCACAAGTCTCATAAAACAAACCACAAACCTCACAAAGCAAACCACAACATTTGCGAAAGAACACTAGAAACCTCCTAATGCAAACCAAAACCACAATATATCAAACCACAAAAAAGCAAACCATAAACGTCCTAATGCAGACCACAAATATACTAAAACAAACCAGAAACCTCACAATGCAAACCACAGAGTTTTTGAAAGCAAAGCAGAAACTTCTCAATGCAAACCAGAAACACGATAAAGCAAACCACAAAAGGCATAAAAAATATGAGAAACCAAACCATAAATCTCACAATGCTAACCATAACATTAAGTGATCGTTGACCGTTGACCGAACTCCGATGACCGTCAGTGACCGGATTCCGGCGCCGATAGGCATATTCCGGCCTCGATGACTAGATTCCGACGCTGGTAAGCATATTCCGACCATGGTGAGCATATTCCGACGCCGGTAAGCATATTCCAGCGAAAAATAGCATATTCCGGTGACCGATGGCAGAATTCCGGCGACCAAAATTTTGGGCATAAAATAAAAAAATATTTATTTGTTTATTATTATTTAAACATATTTTTTTTATGTTTTATTTAAACATATTTTTCAAAATGACAATTATACCCTATTTTGATTTTACACTAGGTCAACTAAGCTAATAAAAATTCATCACAATCCTAGTTTCCTATTGGTTGGAGACTAGTGTTGTTACAATAACAACAAATATGATGTTGTCACCATATCCGCTCCCCTGTGTACCCGGCTAGCCAACACCATTCCGAAAAATTAGGCTCTCATTGTTTATTGCAAACTACAGTCGGCCCTTCTCAATGTCAACTATGAAATTAAAGAACTATATATTCCAAACCATGCATCTGCAGGCCGTAATATTTATAATCTGTTTTGGTTGATCATTTTGTCTAATAAATACATCACCACCATTGATCCCCAATCAACAACTTCTTCACCCATCCCTCCAAAGTCCAAACTCTCTGCAACTCTGTTTCTCGTCACCCAAGCTCCCTCAACCCCCAACAAAATAATGGAGACAGCACAAAGTTCAAACTCTCCGAATTCATCACCATCATCGTCCGTCTCCTCCGTTGCCCTGATCGTAGGCGCAACAGGGATGGTAGGACTGAGCCTGGCAGAAGCACTGAACAACCCGTCAACTGCCGGCGGGCCATGGAAAGTCTACGGCGTGGCTCGCCGTCCATTACCCACCTGGTTCCCGCCTTCCCTCCTCCACAAGTTCATCACTCTCGACGCCCTGAATCGAGATGAAACGGCCGAGAAACTCTCCCCTGTTGCCCACGAAGTCACCCACGTCTTCTGGGTAGCGTTCCAGCTCCGTGAAATCGAAGAGGTCAACATCTCCCTCAACTCCACCATGCTCTCCAATGTCGTCGCCGCACTCATCTCCGCTGGGGCGAATTCCCAGCTCAGCCATGTCTCCTTGCAAACAGGTAACATGGTAGATAGCAATTCTGAAACAGGGCTGTATGTATAGTATGGTACGAAATGTTGGACGCCGAGGTTGACAAATTATGACACAAAATTGGGTTTGACTTTTGGTTAATTAGGGACGAAACAGTATATGGGTCCGATCTACGACCCCGAGCACGGGTCGCGGCTGGTGATGCACGAACCGCCTTTTCAAGAAGGGATGCCCAGGCTGCCGTATCCCAATTTCTACTACGCGCTGGAAGATCTCTTGGCGAGCGATTTGCCAGCGGGAGTTACTTACTCTGTGCATCGGTCGTCGATTATCATGGGCGCCACGCCTAGAAGCATCCAAAATGGGCTGCTGACGCTTGCGGTCTACGCCACCATTTGCCGCTACAAAGGGCTCCCCTTCAGGTAATTAAAGTGGCTGCGATCCGAAAATCTGAGCCAGAGCCGAAACAGAGTGTTTCAGAAACAGAGTCTTGTTTCCGATTACATAAAGGATTGAGAGGAAACGTCTTTAATTTGTTCAGGTACCCAGGGAATAAGTACACATGGGAACATTTTTGTGACATGTCTGATTCAAGGTTGCTAGCAGAGCAGCAGATATGGGCAGGGACGACCGAGGGAGCCAAGAACCAGGCGTTCAACTGCTCGAATGGAGACTTCTTCACGGGGAAGGGGCTGTGGAAGGTATTGTGCGAGCTGTTCGATGTGGATTTCGTGGATTTGGATGATGCGGAGAAGTTTGATGCGATGGAGATGATGTCCGGGATGGGAGATGTGTGGGATGAGATTGTGGAGAAGCAGGGGCTGTACAAGACCAAGTTGGAGGAAGTGAATTGCTTCCATGCGATGACGGTGGTGACCAATTTCAAGTTCCAGCATGTTTGTAGCATGAACAAGAGCCGTGAGTTTGGATTTGTGGGCTTTTATGATACGTTCAAGAGCGTTCGTTATTGGGTTGGGAAGATGAGGGAGATGAAGATCATACCTTGATCGAGGCTACATGGCAGCGGCATGCTCTGTTTCTTTTAAATTTGCTCTCCTCTTTTGTGTTTATGATTCTTGTGTTCGTGTGATATGTGATCAGCGCTTTGATTCAGCAGGAATCGAAGAGAGCTCTCTTTGTTAGTATTTAGGGTCATTAACATACAAGATCTTAATTGTTTGGAATGCACCTTTATTGGGAGTCAATTCTTATTTAATGTGAAATTTGAACACAAATACTATGTTTGGTTGGAAAATAAATTCTAATAATTGGAGTGTGTTATTTTTCAAATGTTAAAAGGAGGGTTATTGTTTGTAAAATATCATGGTGTTGTGTTTTTATCCTCACTAGAAGTTTTTGTTCGTTTGCACTTCGCGGCGAGTGATGTATTACACTCTAAATGTGTTATATGAAAAAACTAGCTCATTGCCCGACCCGTGGCCGGACTTAGTCTCGGAAATTGACTCTTTGATTGTAATTGATATTACTCGTTAACATGTATGCGGGGATGGCCGAAGGTAGGTCAACAATACCACAATAATATGATGGAAAGTCATTAGCCCATTGCATTAGAAAAGAAACAGTAAAACATAAACACTATAATGGACAATCCAAACCAAGCCATTAGCCTTAAATATAGCCACTATTGTCATGCACCATGATGCTCCTAGAGTGAACATGAAAAAACCAAAGGAATGCTTACCTGATTCAAATTATCGATGGTAAAAATTGAAGTCACCAAGAGATTTCATAAGAAAAATCCAATCTAGATTGTCCTTACACCAAAAACCACAGTGATACAAAAGGCGATGAATTTCTGGTTGAGAAAACAAAAACCAGCAATGTCCAAATCAAATAGATGGAATGCATCGGCCAGTTTTTTCTGATAAATAGTTTTGTTAATTAAAATGACAGAAAAGAAAGAAATACAAAGCATGCCATTTGCTTTAGAAATCTCATATACAAACAAAAGAAACAGGCAAGCAATATATGTTTGGAAGCACCAACAGATAATAACTTCTCTCAATATACCTACCACCGTGAAATCCTACCAAATCACTCCTAATCACTCTGCTACACACTAAACATACAAATGACTTACAGCTCTGTATTTTCTATCTCTTCAATATGTATAAGTCAATCGTCATGAACTCTCCCCATTATTACGATTCTTATCCTTCTCGACAGCAAACACACTGATTGGTCCACTCTTACTCCTTTTTCGTGGAAGCTAAATGACATTTTGCATCATTACACATTAATTCAAACAACCATTCCTTGCTGCAATTTATGTTTTGGGGTAATATCACTTCACTCGTAATACAAATTTACATGAAATGAAAGAAATGATCATTATAATAGCCTTGTAAAATTTAGATTACCAATGGCGATTCCTCTCTTCTCCCCGGTGGTTTCGTCAATAAAATAAGATTGATGACTATCTTTACCAACGTATTTTATATGATCATTTTATGACCTTTTGTATAAACCATTTCCGCCTTACCCATTTTCGCATCACAACTGCAAGAGCTAACTTGTTGGGGTTCTCTTCTAGGTAAACAACTTGTATCAACATCATGCATGAAAACAAAAATTGGTTTGGTTGAGATACTATCAGGATCTTGTGATGCTCTGAAGAAGGCCAAACCGTTTCCCAAGCATTGTCAACCCCAATCAATTTGATGTGGGTCATTGCTCTCTTACCATCTAAAATAAAGAGGAAGCTCAGGTTGGCCTCTTTTATAGCTTCACTTGACAATTTCTTAAAGGATATAAAATCACCATTCACAATTCTAGAACAACCACCTCTAGTAATACAATCTTATGGAAACAATACTAATGAAGCACCCAAATTACAATTTCGTACATGTTTCCTATGAGGGTGTGCATATGCAAATTAAGAAAAGTATAATGATTAAGGAGAGAGCTTACTTGGCACCCGGCTTTGATGAGCAAAAATCCCGTCAATAAATTCCAGGTGGAGATGTCCAATCGATCGGGTCTAGACATGCGCATATATCAACATGCTATACTACAAACACAAAGAGTTCGGTTTGTCCTTCCCATGAC